ACAGAAATTTGCTGATCCTCTCTTGAGAAGGCCTTTTTGGCATCAACCTGAATAATGAAATTATAAAATAAGTTGCTAGTTAGGCTTTTAATTGATAATGAAAAGAAAAGCAGACACAGGATCACAATTTATCAATGTTCCACAATTATCAACATTATGAAAACTATCTTTGAGAAAGAGGCATCACATCATGTTCTTAGATATTTGGGCATATCCAAAACCATATATGCAAAAACTATCAATAGATCCCACAAGAATCATTACTCTTGCTGCATTCAAGCTGGGGCAAGCTCATCCATGAAAACAAGTAAGCCAATCCTATTCCTAAATACAAGCAAATAACAGCACTCGAGCTTACGCTTGTCCTTGAAGGAAGTGGTTCATATAGTTGAACTTCAAAATATTTCTACTTCTTTACATTTCAATAATCAAATAAGTGTAATCAAATCTTAAAATATCAAACATTACTCCCACCAGTCATAAACATTTACAAGAACACTTGCCTCAATTTCTGAAATTAAAAATAAAAAATCAAAGAGATATAAGTATTACAGATAAACTGCCAGTTGACACAACATTTCCAGCTTCTAGGCAACACTATGCCAGCAGCAGCAAAACACCCAAAGAAAACTAGCTCCAATACAAGAAAATCTTCTGCTTTTTTTAAATTTGGTTTTAAGAAATTAAGCAGAAGCATCAACAAAAAAATTAGCCACTCACCCCGAAGTAAGCATATACCAAGGAAAACAACCAACCCACGCCAATTTGAAAAAGAAGCAAATAACCACAAGCCCTAATTCCAAACCACGAACAAAATTAAAACCCTAAACAAAAAGCCGTCAACCATTCAACAAAAAAACACGGCTCATTTCCACCCAAAGAAAGAAAAAAAACACCACCTTCATTTCGGAAGCAACAACCACGCTAAAAAATCGAAATTTTCAAAATTTTCAGCAAAAGCAAAAACAGCAAGAAGAAGACAAGGGCAAACGGAGTAGCGGAAGATGGAAGTAAAAAATGATGAAAAGTCACCGTTCTGCCATCTATAACATGTTTGTCTTCCAAAACCCTATCTAGAATGGAGGGATCCGCGAAGACGACGAAGCCGAAGCCTCTGGGCTTGCCGGTGTTCTTCTCCCTCATGACGGAAGTGCTCAAAACGTCGCCGTAGTTGCCGAAGTGGTCCTTCAGCTTGTCCTCCGTCGTGTCCCACGAAATCCCACCGATGAAGAGCTTCCCTTGATCCGAATCCATTACCCTCTCTCTCTCTATATAAATACAATTCAATGGTGGTCGATTTAGGGCCAAAGTCGCAGAAGGAGGGAATTTAGGTTTTGGTTTGGGGGAAAGAAAGAAAAGAGAGGGTTTGGAGCAGTGAGGGCTTCTAACACACCAATAAATGAAATGAAATGAAACCAAATGAGAGAGAGAGAGAGAGAGTGAGAGAGTGAGAGAGTGAGAGAGTTTTTTTGTAATGTTTTTATTCAAAAGCTGGTCGCGTTTCACGGCTCAGATTTGTTTGATTCGATTTTCGATTTTCGATTTTCAATTTTCATCATCACACTCGGAATTTTATTCAATTAACTTGCTGCTTGCATTAATAAACGAAAATGGACTTTTTAATGTTTTGGTCGAATAAACAAGAAAATTAAGACAAAAGAATAATAATAATAATAATAATAATGACAAGGAAAAAATTCAAGAAAATGTCTTATTTTCTTATTTGGCTAAAAAAAAGAGTGAAAAGATTTTATTTTTTTAATATATAATTGATTGATAATGAGTGGGCAGTAGATATATGAATTTACCTTTATTAACGAATTTCAATTTTCTTTCGCTTTCTATCCAATTTAAAGAGATTTTTTTTAATGGGTATTATATTATTTTCAACCTGTTTTCAATTTTTAGTTCAATAATAAAAAAAATGTTTTTATGTATTTTTCAGTAGGTTTCTTTTCCACCTATTTTTATTTTAATTAAAAAGGAACTAAATTTTTCATTATAATTCTTTTTTATACGATGAACTTTTGACATTCAAGTATAGGTTCATTTTAAAACATTATCTTTTTTTTTTCTTTTTGCCAATTTTGTAATAAAATTTATCAATAGGCTTATTTCTATGTACGCAGGACACCTCTAAATAAGTTAATAAATTTAAATCTTTAAATAAACTAGTAAAATAAATAATTATAAAATAACACTAAAAATAGAATTACGCGTAAAATTAAATTATCATTAGATAACTTAGAGCTGGCAAAATAAATTATATACTCCATTGTGGGTTAGTCTTATTGAAAGTTCAGAGTTCAGACTACGAATTACAATGAATTGGACTTTTAAATTGATGTTCAAACCTAGTTTTGTGCGGCCTACAGGCTTTTTGTTATCATTTTGTTATATTTATTTATATTTTTGTCAAAATTCAAGTTAGATAATTATTGTGATAATTATATTGAAACATTTATTTTAGTAAAATAAATAAAATATGAAGATTTGATTTATTCTATTATTACATTTAAGAAAAAAAATGAAAATTGATAATGTGGTGATTGTTGTAATTATTTTTAATATAAAAATACTTATGTATAATATGTTAATATTTTCTATCATTTTATAAAAGTTGTTGAGAAAAGTATTTGTATACACGTAATATTTAATCACTTTAACATAAAGTTATATAAATTATAATCTTATTTAATCTCTATTTCTTAATTAATATATTTTTTCTAGTCACTTAGTGAAAAGTATCTATATATAGTATTAAGTATTGGTGCTCTAAAAAGTAATTGATGTTCTTTATTTTATCAACATTAAGTGTGAATATTAAGATCAATAAATATAAAATCTTTTTTTTTTTGCTTAGTCATAATCAGAGGGAGTATATAACAAAATTAGGTTAACTAATCTTTATAAGAATTCTAACATTGGATGCTAACTACTAATAATTTTTTGATCATTTAAAAATATTGGTTAGATCTATAAATATAATCAAATTAGTGAGTAAATGTCAAACTTTTAAAATTAGAAACTTTATTGTATTCTTTGTAATTTTAGATATAGTAAATGGTTAACTCGATTGGATTGATATAACCTCACTTTTTATGCTTAAACTTCCTATAGGTTGTAGTAGTGTTTGAGAAAATGCACATTTTTGTAGGAGAGTCTAAACAATTGGTGTGTGTAATTGTGTGAAATGTGTAAGTCTAAGTGTAATGTTTGACCATTTGTTTAAGTCTAAGCTTGAGATTAAGTGAAAAAATTTAACCATTTGTTAAGTCTAGGTGTGATACTAACCATTTGTTAAGTCTAAGCCTGATGATTAAGTTGTTTGTCATGTATGATTTGAGAATTGTTATATATTTGCTTAAGCTCATGCATAACATACATAAAATTACTAGAATTTTCATAGTTGTAATCTCCTTATTAATATGTTGAGAAAAAAATATTTATGTGTTTCTAGAGAACTCATGTTGAATCTCTTTCTAATTGAGAGTGAACTTATTAAATATTCTTCATATGGTGATTCATATATTTTTGTGAATTCATAAACTACCTAATATGTATTTTGAAAAAACAACTAATAGTACCATGTGCATATATCAATTATAACTTCGTCAATTTCTATTGTTAATTAGACTATTTAGTTGTATTTAAAATAAAAAATCAAATATAAAAATAAACACATTTTTTTTTACATAAATTATTATACACACACAAATTTTTTATATAAATTATTGTTCACTAGTTTTATTGTTTAATTAAGTGTTTAGATAATTAATATTTAGTGTTTGATTATTATATATCAACTTCTTTATTAGTATTTGAATATTCACAATCTCTTGATTTTTTTTGTAAAGATATGAAAGATTACAAAGATGATCGCAAATGAAGATTGAACCTAGGTCATTGTGCTTCAAACTACCCCAATCCCTCCCCACCCAACCACTAGGCTAACCCTAGTGATTACAATCTCTTAATTTAACAAGTAAAATATATTGAGATCTATTTCTTGAATATAGATGAAAATCTCTTTTACTTTTACTATTTCATTAATTTAGACATGTTTTCTTATAATTTTCGCTAGCCTTATGTTAAACACTTCTTAATTGAAATTCATTCTTTAACAACTTTTCAAGTTTTTCAATCATTTTTATTTATTTTTTATTTTCATTATTCAGCTTCCAATCCAATTCATTAGCCCATGGACTAAGTGAACTAAAGGCAAATCAAACAAAAAAAAAAAGAAGTCCATGTACTTGGTAAATTAACTTGAGAACGATACAAACTGAATTAAACTATCAAACTAGTTTGTAGACCCACCTCTACTTATCCGACCAAAGGTTAACAAGAAAAATATAGTATTAAATCACCATATTTGATTCGTAATATGCACGAATCATAAAAAAAGTTATTTCCCAACATGATTTGCAAGTCCTTTATCAATTATTAATTTCATACATAATAAATAACTACAATTAAATTAATATAACCATCCATGTAATTAGATATATTATTATATACTATTATAGTAATAAATAAGGATTTTTTTTATAAAAAAAAAAGAGAAATTTAAGAAAACCTATAAAATTACCAGCAACGATTTTATACTATCATAGTTCCCTATTAAAGAAACATAACCAAAATAAGAATAAATAATAATAAGTAAACTAAATTTTAGATTGTCCCCTTAAAAGAAAAACCGGAAAACTCTAGTGAGGGCACCACATTAAACAAAAAATATTGTGCAAATGCAAGTCATCTAAGGTGTAAAAATGGTAATTTTATTTAAATACAGCCAATAATTCAAGACCTTACAAGTAAATTTCCTGAATTCCTCTTGAAGGAAAAAAGACAAAATCCAAACAAAAAGAATTACGAAATGTTGAAAATTAGGTTATGAATTTTTATTTGTAAAAAAAGAAACAATCAATTATGTTATACACTCCAATTGCTGGCTGTGTATACACTTTTTTTATATATAAAAAGACAATTCACTTCAATGATCTTGAAAGAAATAATTCCCTTCTATCTGTTTGAACTTAGGAGATACACTTTGTTCCACACCAATATACAAATGAGAAATCCTTTCGCCTCAGTTATAATTCAGAGGTCTTCAAAAAAAAAAATACAATCTTGGCAAAAAAAATGCCAGGCACATGAAATTAAATTTTTATAAAAAAAAATAGAATGTATTTTAATAGAGAACCATCCTCCAGCTAATAATACTCTAGCAAAAAGCAATGAGACAGAAGGTTACTAAACACTAAGTGATGATACAATCAAAACAATAAAACAAAGGATATGAAAAAAAAATTGCAACTGTGCACCTGAATCTACTGTCAATTGAGCAATACGTCCACCTTAATTGAAGAGTCTGTTAAGATAATATCCCTTCCGTTATCAGCCTTTGGATGATCAAGACAATTTAATCTTATTCTGAAGTGTAGTGGTTTCATGAAAGTAAGATCTCTCAAATCACCCTTAGATTGCAGTAAAAATGCATTCCATAAACCTCTCTCTATTTTTCCAGATCTCTTAGAGCTCAAAATATCAAGTATCCTTGCGGCATGTTCCTCCCGGTTGCCTTCATTTGAGTTTGGGACTCTTTTAAGTTTACAATACAGTACAGCATAAATTATAACCTGTATCAAATGAAAGTAAAATATTTACATAACACTGACATATTTGAAGCAGCTCATTGACTTTATATTAAAAAAAGTTATAGTATCAGTGTCCAGCCAACGAGAGGTCGGCTCATTGTCTTGGTCTGTGTTTGAACTGTGTTCAAGCAAAAAAAAAAAATGTTCTTTAATTCAGACACCTGTTGAGACGTGTCGATGTCAGAGCAGTGTCCAACACATGGACAAGCCAATCTGATGCAACGTTCATGCTTTATACTACAAGCAGAGATTAATAATGATTCTAGTTCCTATAGGCATTTAACTGCTAATTCCAATGCATTACAAGTCATTAGAAGAGTTGATGTATTCTTGACTTATGATGTAGTTCAATGGAAATTTAAGAAAGTGCCAGCATGACTAGAAACGGAGCACTTTGATCAAAGAACAAAGCAGAGCACATCATTCTCATACCCATCTTGGACTCTTGGTATGTTGCTTCTAATCTGATAATCAATGAAATAGAGAAACAACACGAGGCCAAATTAGATTAAGATTAAGCATACCTCACTTGTTCCGGGGCTAGTAAAGACCCCACAGCTAATGTGAACTTTCTTATCTTCCACCACTGAATTTTTATCAAGATTATCTTCTTGAACATTTACTTCAGATTCAGGTTTTGGGGTCGCAAGAAAATCTAATTCATCATACCACTGTTGTGCAGCACCAGCCTGCACCAAGATGACATTAAGTTACTGAAAATAGAATCGGACTACTTCATTATAGAAAGTCCCCATTTGCAAAAGAACCTTGTATAAGGATCCTGAATCTTCGTCCATTCCAGAAATTTCAGTAGCTGCACCTCTTGCTTGACACCATATACAGGATTCTTGTAATGGTTCCACAAGCTCAATATCCGTAGGAATATCAACACTGAAATGTATGTTAACCCTGCCTGTAACACAGTGCAGAAAAGCTCTAGATCAACAAAAATAATTAATAGTTTGTAATAGCATTACATTGTTGATGATGATGTACAAAACATAAGCATTTTGAAGATATAATAAGAACAGAACATCTAATGATGATCCTTGATATATATATTATTTTTTTGGTAGCTGGAGATAACAATCCTTGATATATTAACAAGTCTAGTGAGAAGCATTAGCATAATCTCATATTTTAAAGTCTAATTTTATTGGCTGTTGGAACTTGGACCTGTGTAATCAAAGCGTCATTGTTAATACAGAATAATAATACATCACTTAGTTTCTCTCAATCTCTCTCTCTTGCTCATACCCCAAACTCTAACATGTATCCATAATCTGAGTGATGTGATAAGCACTATAACTGATATCAAATAATTTACTTAATCACTAAAGAATCTTTCAACTGATTCATGATAAAATGTTTAAAACTTTAAATTTATAAATACACAATTCTAAAATGTAAAATAACCTGGTAGCAAATCAAAATGTTGTAGATGATCAATTGGTGTACCAGAAAGTCCATTTCCACTGTCAAACCAGAATGATAAAAGTTATTATTTCTATTAGAATTGAGAACAGAGTTGGCTTAACTCTAAATGGTAGCTCAGGGGAGAAGCATTGCCCAAGTAAGTACAAGGAATACTACATCCATATGCACAGTAAATGTAGCATCTTAACACAGCCAGGACTAAATATTTAGAGCGTGAATCTTGCAAGATTGGATAAGTGTGGCTGGGTCAGGGGGGTCTATCATTAAGAATGAATAGGCTTTGAATTAAGAACATACTAGGCTTAACTCAATGTCAAAGCTTACTCAAGGGAAGATGATAGCCCAAATCATTATAAGGGGTCCTATGTCCATATGCCTACCCGATGCAGGATCTAAACAGTTTCACTGGAAACAATCTTACATTTTAACATGCACTGAAACAGCAAAATGGGAGTATGTGATATTGTGAATAAAAGAAACTACTAAGTTTTATGACAAATATCTTACACGGCATAAAATGTCTCCAGGGGGAAAATCAGCCAATAAGGTAATCCAAGTATCCCTAAATTAGATAACTGGAAGTTTGAACAGACCCCAGATTCTCCATTAACCTTCAGAATCCTCTGTCCAACTAGTGAGACAAAAATTGGAAGTGAACAATCTCTAAAATTGCAACTAGACAACAAGAAAGCATCAAGTTAAAAAGGGAGAAAAATACCTGGATCACAAATGAAAATGTGATTATGCAAGGTTGCCAGTGAAGATAAAAGATCAGAATGTGGTAGGCCGCCCAGCAAAAAGCCATTTATAGGTTGCTGTTGAAACCAATCACACGGAATCTGATCTATGATGGATAATCTTTCCATGATGGGCTGTCCACAGATCTCAAGAATTCTGGAACCTATTTTTTAGGAAATAAATATTAGAATTCATCAGTTCTAACTAAATACAAGAATGTTTTGTAACCAAAAAAATTCAGAATTGTTTAAGAAATTGGCCATACAGCCAATATTGAATCTAACCTTCAAAAACTTCATCTATCTTTCCTGAATTGATATTCATGATCCATAAAGTTTGAAACCTAAAAGTAACAACAATATTGTCAAGATAAGGCAGGAATACAACTTGAACCATGTAAGAGCATCAGCAACATATACTATCACTCCTAAACCAAGACAATTTAGTTATAAAAATGAAAATTGGAAAGCATCAAGAAAGATGTTCAACAAAAGGCAAGATTTGAAATTTTAATGAACAGTGAGGCACAAGGGATATTGAGGAATTATTCTTAGGGTAAATACAATTTACTCTCCAAAAACTTAAGTGGTTCCGCCATTCCACAAACTCAACCCACTAACTTTACAAATCTATACTAGACCCTCACTCTTGTTTGGAAAAATATGAAAATCCCAACTTCTCGGTTAAGTTGGACAGAAAGGCTTGTGCATTCATGTATAAATATTCTCTCCATTGTTTTTTACTACTTAAAACAAAGAATGATGAAATCAATAGCATTGTAAATTCCAATTCCAATCTATAACTTAACCAAATTTCAAGTCAGTAATATTGGTTGAAGGCTTGAAGCAACCATGTCAGGCACCAAAATAGAAGAGATACAGTTTATCTTTCCTCAATTTTACAAGGTTGTTCTTCACAAATTTAACACCAAAACGGTTCTATGAAACAGGAGTTATCATGTCATGAAGCCAACAATACTTCGCATGTCACTATAGATTCAGATTTTAGTGACCAAGTATTGGAAACCAATATGTTCTGGTCTCCGATCTATCAGGTATTTGAAACTTCTCAAGTCAGGCAGGGGTACAGGGGCTGGGAGTTCTTAGCATTTTAACAAAAAGGCAATAAAAGCATTTATTCACCTTCGGTCTATAATGTGGAGAGTGTCATCAACTGATTTCAGTAAATGCCATGGGAAATATAATGATTTACAATCAAATACATCATATTTTCCTTCAACATTGGTCCTCCCTCTACTTTCTAAACCAAACTTGCTCATGATCCAATTCCATATGTGAATACCTCCCTTGTTAGAGGCGCTTGAAGGATAGAGAGTCTCCACTGTCCGTGCTCCCATGTCAGCTTTCCTGATAGCATGGTTCTTAGAAAAGAACCAGAATAAAAGAAATAATAAAAGACAAATCTATTAATAAATCTGCTAAATCAATCAACAAAAAAAAAAGGAACTTATAAATTGAATGAAAAAAAGCCTTTATTTTTTTCTCCTGAAGACGCAAAACAGATGGAAGAAAGATAGTAACAGTCATCATGGTAGCAGCACCCACCCACCCAACCTTGTAAATTCAGCTAAGATAATGAAAACTACTATTTCAAAGTCTTACACATTTTTATTATTAACAACACTGGCATTATTTAAAACACAGGGAAAGTATATCCAGTGAATACTGCATTACCTATGATAGCTACAGACAAAAATATGTATCACTAGAAAAGAGGAGCACTAACAACACACTCTATTGAACAAACTCTTCACTATCAGTCAAAATTTATTAAAAACGAAAAAATCATGACTCATTAAATAAAAAGTGTGATCCACACAAATTTGTGATTTCCAATAAATTTTAGCCAATAGAAGAATGTCTATTTAAAAGAGTGTGTTGCTAGCATTTCTTCACCAAAAATTTCAATTGCACAAGTAACAATAATGAAGGAAGAAAATGTAGAAGTTTTCCTATGTTTTAGGTGGGTATGCAAACCTTTGGATCACTAACTTAACGAAAAAGTTCAATTTATTCTATTTGCAGTGGATTTAACAATGTTTTATAAGATACTGGAGAATTGGCTTAACAAATCATATAGCAGCCATGAAAGAGATATTGATCTTTAATATTAAACCAATGTACATAATGTTTGCATCAAATGTGATGAATATGGGTAGCAACCTTATAGTAATTATAATATACATCCAAATCCATACCTCTGAATCCACAAAATATAAGCAATCATCAGTAGCATGATAATAAGAACCTGCAGGACGCCTTAATTTAGCAGATTCAAAATCCCCATCCTCAAATCCTGGGGAAGAGCCAATCTGTAGCAGAGACAATGAAATGTCCCACAAAAGTTTTAATTTCATTCTTTAATTTATATCTTTAAAATTAATATTAAAATGAAATACAAAATTAAAGCTATTTTATTTATCCTGACAAAGATTTGCAGCGAAGTGGTTGAAAAATATTCAAGAGCTATCTGCATAACTTCTGATATATATGAACTAAATCTCTTTTTTTAACATGATAGCCAAAGAAAGAACACCACAAACTAGAATGAAGTGCAGACATTTCAGAGTGGTTACCATAGCCATACTGCTGTTGGACACTTCTCAAAAACCATCTGAGTACTACTATGATTATCTGGCATCCTACAATTTTGTGATTATACTTTTTGAATATGGGCAATAATATGGGTGGACACCACAATTAATATGTAGATAACTGTTAAAATATCTAGGCAAATATAATATGATTTCTCAATGTATCTTAGAATATGTCAGATGATCTCTTACAAGAGACTTCCAAGGTAACATTAGAACTAATGAATTATTTCTATATTTAATTATTTAAATTACAATTAGGAGTTTATTATTAGCATAAAAATAATAGTACATTGTATGTTGTATCACATCAAATTAATATCAATTTCAGATTATTCATGCTTATCCTCTCTTTTCCTCCTTTCTACCTAAATCCATAGAATTACAATGGAAATATTTATTTGTCTATAATTAAAGCTAACTTAAGAAACATCAATGTCTCCGTTTAAATTGATGTATGTGCTTTTATGTTATAGCTAATATTCACAGATTTTAGGGTAAATACATTTTGCTTGCTTCCCAAAAGTCTAGCATTTTCTTTCCACTCCTAGAATTAGATCAATCCATCACAATCATTAACCTATGACTTGTTTATGCTAACCATGATTGGTGTATCCTCCTTAGCATCATATTTAAGATTGTTTTGCATGCATTTTGTATTAGTTTTATAATCATTCAATCATTAATTGCTTAATTTATCTTCAGGACTTTTTATTACATTAGGTTTTCTTTTGTGATTTTAGGTGAATATTTCTTGTGGAGTGAGCTGAAGCAAGAGGGATTGAAGCAATCACAACTCAGGTTCTCGTGATGTGATGGAACTGATCTTGGTGTCTATAAAAAACTTGAATTAAGAGTTGCAATTAAAGAGACTTGCATCCAATTCAGCATGGATCATAGAAAAAATATGGCTTGAAGTTAAAATTGACATTCTATCCAAACAATCTAAAATAGGTGCAGTAATTTAAGCATATCTCAAGTTGTAGAAGTCTAAATGACACAAACCAGTGCCAAAATTTCAAGGACAAAACTATCTACAACTTTTATGAAGACATCAAGTTTGTCAACTCAAATGATCAACTTGCGGACATATTAACATTATCTCTAACAGGACCATAAATCCAGTATATTTGTCCCAAGCTTAGCGCATTCAACCTATATGCTCCAACATGAGTGAAAGTGTTGGAAATGGTTACTATATTCTAAAATAATGTCTAGGATAGAGATGTATAGATAAACTTTGTATAAATCTCACTGTTGCTCTTAGAGATTTACATTTCATTATTTATTACTATTAAATGTAATTTATTATGAGATTTGAGATGAATATAAATATAGGTGTTGCTGGGTACTTTTTCACTCAAGCATTTCACCAAAATCCAGTCTTCAACTATTATCAGTAGATAGCACAGGAAAAAAGAAAATAAAGGACCTAAAATCAAAATTCATTTTGAACTGCACTTATTTTAATAATTAGTGTACAAAGTTACTTACACAGTCCAGAATCTCTCCATTTCCATCAGATACGAGAATCCTATGATGATTGCAATCAGAAAAGAACATGCGGTTATCACTTTCATCTGTGGAGATGCAACCTGTAAAATAGGACAAAAGAAATTGCATCCAAATGATATTTAAAGCCTTCAAGCCTATTAACATGAATATCTCCTAAATGAAAGAAATGTATGGTTGAGGCAATAAAACTTGTAAAGCATTAGAAGAGCGTTTGAGGCAAAATTGGGTGAATAATCAATATACACATGCATACATACACACACAAAGGGCTGTATTAAATATAACAGGAACCAACTAGTTAGAGCAGTAATCAGCAATGACTCAATAACAGTTAATGCTACTTATAAAAAATTTACAGATACAAGGGTATACAAATCTGATACAGGGGAGAAATTCAAGAATCAAGGTTGCAGTGGTTGAGAAGTTCCAGCCCACAACCCATTTGCTGTGCCTGTGCTCTTAGGGCTAAAGCAGAATAATTCAGTGGCAGTAAACACGGAAAATTTTGAGAAATACACTAGGACAATAGAAGGGTAACTAGTAAGATAATGGTTACTAATGAATATTTTCTTAAATGGGTTAAAAGAGGAAGTGGGAGCAAAAGTGAAGTATGAACCCCAGTCTTTATCCTCTATGATAAAAAAGCAAGATGATAGAAGAGAACATCGAATTCACTCCACAAACACTGCTGGAAAATATTACAACAATTTACAAAGTACAAAAGCATATTTTAATGAGAAATGTTATTAGTACAACTAAGAGAGAGAAAGAGGGAGAAGTATGAAATGTAATTAATGATGTGACGAAGACAGAGAAAAAGTAGTGTTGAATGAATTGTTATATGAGTTTTCTGAATAACATAACTTTATTCTAATTCTAATTAATAATGTAATATTTGAAAATGAAAGATATTGGAACAGGGACTTGATATATCTGGCTCATTCTCAGGAAATTTGCCTGCCAAGTGCCAATTCTAGTCTGAGATTGAAGAAATACAGAAAAATCGTTGATTAACCTCTTGGTTACCTGGGTAATATAGAAGTAAATTCTGAAGAGGAGAAAAACTACATTGATCCTTAACGATCCCATCTTGTTTCAAAGATGTACATCTCACTACATTGAGCGACTTAGAATCACTACCAGGTTGCACCTGTAACTCCTGAACAACTACATTTGAGACCACTGTCAAAATTGTAAACATGCAGAAATAAAACATGAAAAATAGACAAATGTCATATAGTCAGCAATGTTATTCATGGAAAATGCCCAATTACCTTGGCTTAGAATTTCAAGACCTGCATCCTTCTCATGATAAATAACCGGGCTCCTAAAATTTTTAAACAATATGTAGCACGCACCTTTCTCTATCTATACATATCAAAAAGAATTGCTATAAATAAAATGTACGTGCCAACATCAAATATATATTTGTAAACAAAATTGTAAAAGATAAGGCAGGCAGGCAATATACATGAAAACTGTCAAGGACCAAACCAACTCACCTAGAAGCTCAAGTTATTAGATGAAGGTTCATGGGTAAATTATATGTTAAAATGCCCCTCATTTCCTTTGAGCTCGGATCATGGACAATACACAAGCACACTCTACCTTGTGCAAAAATTCAACTTTTAACTTCGAACGAATTGAGGTGGCAAAGATCCAACACTCACTTTGGTCATGAAAAATCATACCATTTAAGGACCAATTCACCTAAAAGCTTAAGAACCTGTTTCTTTTGTGTGTTTTAGTTTTATACATATTGAAGAAACATAGGCAAAACCATTTAAGCACTACTTAGGCCATATCTCCAGGTACGGTGGGACTAATCACCCCTACGCCCAACACAATGAAAGTGGAGGCTGCAATGAAGGTAAATAAAAGAAGCCACAATTAAGGTGGACAAGGGGCATTTGCAATTAAGGAGATTTTCCAACAAAACAATATAACATAATATGATCCATGTAACCAATTCCATCTAGTGCAAAAAAATTGGGTTGTCACACTGTCATGCTTTCAGCCTCGTCCTTTCTGCATTGCATATTGAACAAGAGCAAACTATGTATTTTTAGCACATGAATTACATATTCTAGCTAGCAAGTTCTCTGCACACCCACTTTGAACCCATCAGTCCATGCACCAGTACCCTATGCAATGAAGCCTTGGAGGACATATGTGACACAGGTTCCTAAGGGGAATTGTAACTAAAATCAAATTGCTCATTTTCATTTCAGGCATGGGACGTTCATATCATGTTCTCATTTAAGAACAATGTTAATGCTTCTTTGACAGGAAAGGTATATCATTTGAATTAAAACAATCAGCAATCTTAGCCTTTAGCTTATGACTTCATCTGCAGAGACAAATTATAGTATTGCCATGACAAATCATAGACTCATAGTTGATATGCAGTAACATGCTACACACCTACAATTATCTAGTTTTAATGAGTGGGATGGAGATAGAGTTTGAAGAAGAAATCTCCCATATCTGCAACGATGAAGACAACAACACTTGTCTGATGTGTTGGCTGATACAATTACAAATTAAAAAGTGCAGCTAGGGATATTTTAGAAAGAAATTAAACAAACAAAACTCATTATGATGGAAATATATTAGTCCTCGTATGCATCAAGTTTTAATGTATTTCAGAAGCTAAACAAGGGATTTAGTGATTTACCACACCTTAGCAAATGGCCTCCGAGACAACAAAATGGGGAATGATATATTTTCTGTCATCAGTAACTGGATTAGGTGCACTTGATCGTCAGAAGAGTGGCTTGTTTTCAAACCCATAATATTAATATGAGGAAACCTGCCACCAAAATGAACTTTAATTATTATGAAAAATCCATTCCTACAAAGTGAGGAGAGAAAATATAACTTCTGTGTACCTCTTATGAATTGTCTTCATTTTTTCAAGTGCAATGCCACAGTAAAAAATCCTTGCAGCAAGAACTAAAAATATTCCATCAGCTCCAAAAAGTTGATCATTTTTGTCTGATCTATTTAACCAATAATGATCGGTGCCTGCACTTTTAGACAAAGAATAAATTACTTAATAGGCAAAAAGTAGAGAGGATGGATTATTTAATTCATTGAATCTAATACTCAGTAACAAATGTGTTGTAGAATTGAACTCATGTAATTGCAATGCAAAAAAATGGAGCACACAATTCAAAAATAAAAAGTATAACTGAGCAAATAATCATTTGTATCAATTGAAAAGTATAAAATTAGTAAGTCATAGATGTCAAAAGAAAAAAGTTTTAAGACAGAATACCCATATCAATGTCAATGATGGGAGGCATGAGTTTTAAAAATATAATGAACCAAAAAGATGTTGCTTATCATAACAAAAAATAAGCTTCAGAATATAGATCATATAACTAACACTCAAAATTTGAAGAATATAAAAGGTTGTAGACTAGCATAATAAATAGTAATACCTTCAAACTCAGCCAGTGAAGCCTTGATGAAAGACAAAAGATCAATTTCAGAGGCAGGTTCATGCATTTTATCAGCCATTGTTGAGATCCTGAATAACACTGCCAATCAGAAGTCAGGAAACCTAACAAAGCTAGAAAATTCTAAATTATTATGCTTCAAAATTAACATAAATGACAACTGATGCTGAAATTATTGTCTTGCTTTGCTGTGTCAGTCACAAAAACTCCAAAAGAAAAACAAAATCACCACACCACCAGATACCCTGTAGGGCAAAATTGAACCTTCAAAAGTAATTACCTGTGTTCACGAAACCCTCTCACTTGAGTCCAATTAGCAATCGGCTTCTGAGCAGATGACATATGCATTATGGATAAAGCCACTATGTTAAACGCTTTGCTAGATTTCTGACAGCAGTCACCTAGCGAGAGGGAGTGAAAAATAAGTACATAAATAATCTCATTAAAATTGGCTCAGAAAATTAATATATTGAAGCATTCAACAAACACCATGTTGTAATCATCAAACTTCAGTACTATAAATAAACATAAGAGCAGATGAAGAAAAAAAGTAAAATAGTCAAAACATACTTTCATAATTCTAACAACTACTATGAAAACAAAATATTATCCAGAGAAGCAGGAGGGGGAGGATGCACGGGCAAAACACAAAGGAAACCTCAACTAGTAGTGGCTAATAATCATACAGCCAAATTAACATCTATAATTTTGGACTGATATATTGAATCTCTCACCTTTGCATTTTGTTCATGACATTACTGCTCTATTTTTCAATTCCTCATACGCATAGCAAAGAAATGCAAAGGATTTCTAAATTGCTCAACAAACATGCATAAGCTCGCTTTCATTAATTGAAGAAAATTCAAGTTCTTCAGATATCAAACTATAATCGATTCAATGAACAAAACATCAAAAAAAAAATATAAAAAAAAATTCCATCAACTTTAACACTAGAATAGTTAAAAGTTATATGCTACACTGTATTCGTTTTTGTTTAGAATTGAGAGCAAGCAAAAGAGAACGGTTGTGAATGAAGTGCAGACCTGCGTGAAGAAGAGGTGTTAGAAACTTGGTAAGGCGATGCCTCAGAGTGAGAGCCATTTCTAGAGTTTGTGGTTTTAGTGAATGGTGCTGCGACTGTGTCTTGTTTGGGGTTTAAGGCTCAATAAGCCAAACAAAAAATAGGGTACAGATTGTCATTAAGCGGGTTTGGATCAATCTCTATCCATATCCTTCGCAACCCGACCCGATTGACTCCACCTTACGCGATGCACGCACGTGTCCCTTTGAAGCTGATCTAAGTTCTACATGCCTTTTTTTCTTCTTTCCGATTTTAACCCTCTTCCACTTGCCCACTCTCGAGAGGAAGAGACATTAAGCATATTTTTCATTTATTATGCCAAATAATTTTATAATATAACTTTAAAGATCATTTTCCAAAACTATCAAGGATAAGTGAGATTAGATTTCTCTTGTATAAGTAAAATTTTGAGCATGAATCTTATAAATAAAAAAATGTGATTAAAAGATAAAATTTTATTAAAAATAATTAATTAGATTTCTCAATAAAATTGATCGTTACAAAATTTAAAATTGATGATATTTCATAATAACATAGTTATCGATTAAAATATAGTCTTATTAGATTTGTTGGTTTAATGATTTAGAAACATGCTCATAGTCTATTTGTTAATAACTACATGTGAAAACATATTTGAGTAGTGGGTTATTAGATTTTTTTTTGTAACTTTTTGTTCATTTTTTTTACTAAAGAATTTGTTCATGTTAAATATTGATGTAAGATTTTGTCATAAATGATCAAGTATTGAAATTTTGTTTTTCTTTTATATCTTAAGTGGTTAAGTCTCATATTCTAGCTTGTATTTATAATAGTTAAGTTTTGTTTATTTTTGTCATTATCTGGTTAAGCATTTATTATTTTTTATTTTTGCCTTTAAGTAATTAAATGTGTTTTATTTTTTTAAATGTTCAAGCCTGGAATCATGACTTATGCTTAATAGTTAAATATTTGTCTTTTGACTTTTGATTGACTTAATCATATCGTATATATTTTAAACGATGTATTCATTAATTTTTTTATTACGTTTTCTTTTTTATATTTGATATATACTTGATTTGATATACATTCATGAGAGGCTATTAGAAATATAGTTAGTAAAGTTAAGTAGTTAAATGTTAGTTTGTCTCTTAGTTATTTTGTTAGAAATTAGTTTTTTTCTTCTTTTAGTAATAGTGTTGTTACAAATTTTATTAATAATTAAATTTTATCAGGAAACTTGACTTGAACTTTAGTAAAATCTTTTTTTTTTAATTATATTTTTTTATTTACAAAATTTAAATCTAAAATCTTATTCAAAAGATGGAATCTAATTTTACTTCGATCATCAACTTATTAATAGTTAACTTTGAATTTGTGGTTTAATATAAAAGCTCTTATTTTTATACATTCCACTAAATAGTATTTTAAATTTTTATTTAATTATTTTTTTCTTTCTTCATTTGTACTATATATTTGATATTTCATAGCAATTATATTTAAGTTTTAGTTATTGTTTCCTCGATATTTTTAAAATAAAATGAACAATTCCTCAATAATTTGTATCCTTAATTAGGGGCTGTAAAACGAGCTATCACCTGCAGGTCGGGTTCATTTCAATCTGCCAACCCGTCAAGTCTGTCCTGCCAAGCCCGTCAACCCGCCAGGCCAAATAGCGGGCTGGCCGTCATAACCCGCTAACCCGCATTTTTTAATTTTTTTATGTTTAATTTATTTTGGTATAAGGAGAATAATTTCTATTTGATTTTGTTCTAAATTTGTAATTTGTTTTTGTTGAACATATATTATGTACAACATGTATGCATTTTTAATTTCATATAATTTATTTGTAGCAATTTTTTTATTTGAACATAAAATATTTTTTTTATAATTTTTTATAATTTTTTTTGTGGTACATGGCCATTATTTTTAACCTATTTTTCATTGGCAGGCCGGTCCGACCCAACCCATTTTTTGGTGGGCCATTGGCGCACCGGGCCAAAACGGGTCGGGCTAGCCCGTTTTGCCACCCATATCCTTAATTAATTGGAACTTAATTAATGGGAACAACTAATCTATATGCCATTTTGTTTTAAATAAAATCATTTTTTAAATAAAAATTATTTTTAAAAAATAGATAGTAGTTGCTTTAAAAAAATGTTTTTTTAAACACACAAAAAAAAATAGAAAAATGCTTATTTTATTAAAAAATTAAATAAATATATTTAAACAAATGGCCTATATTATTTTGGATTCACTTTTTTTTTTATGTATATCTTGATCTTTTCAGTGAATTGTATTCTTATATGCGTATGGACCCAACTTATACGATCCGAAATACACTAGTGAAGTACACTGGGTTGATGTGTAACCTCTTCGTAATCATAGATAGTATGAATTCTTTTTAGTTCTCAGACTAAAGTAGTGATTAATGAGTGATACTTTTTTCTTCGGTAAAGAATTTTATTGTCCTTTATTTTGAATAAAATAAGACAGTAACTTAGCATAAGGGGGTGAAAAATAAAAAATAAGCTTGATTTAAAGTGAAGGCCTAAATTTTTGTCTTGCATGCACAGTAGTATAATAAATATTGTAGATTAAAAGCAAAATATCCGTATTTCTATTTGAATCCCAAAGGTAGATTATCTTAAACAGACATATTGTACTGCAAAAAAAATTGATTATAGGTTTTAGATATTGCTTACGATATCCTTTAACCAAAATACACAGCGTGTCATAGAAGCATTAAAAAAAGAATTATGATCTAAATGGACATTTAATGGATATGGCAACAATCGAAAGACATTAATTATCTTTTTGCCGCAAAAGCACGACTTTAATTCGAAGAGTGGAAAAGTCAATTAGCAATTGATTAACCACCTCTACGAATCAACTAGATAAGTCTAAAAACGCCATATTCGGATTTATTCAAATCAGTTTAAATTAGTTGAAACAGTCGATTAGTTTAAATCATGAAGTGATGCTTCTTACCAAGATTTCAACATTTCATTGTTTTTCTATTTGATAATTAAAAAAAGTGTTATTTTTTATCTACCATTTTAATTCATTAAAAAACATCATAAACCATCATTTCTTCATGTAAAACTTTTTTTACATGATTTTATAAATGCTTTTATAGATTTACTAACATGGCGTGTGAATTATTTTGTATGATATCATTCATTTTTACCTATCAAATTAAGCAACCGTTTAAGAACATAAAATATTGGGCCATTTGGCTGGTGCCAGTTTCCTGATGCAAAAACTCTGGAATAAAACAAGTAGTCAAATATAGGAGAGCTCAGATCTGAGACAAAAGCAACTAATGTTGTCCCTACTTTCATTCTTATATTTAATATTAAAAAAACTATTGTGCCCACAATCATCATTAAAAGCCTAACGTTACTATTTTCGAAATTCTTTGGAGCCAAACGGCTTTTAAACTTGTCACATGTTCTCCTCCTTCTCTCTCTGGGTGGCATGCATGTCAGTTTCTGACTGAGTTGCTTTCATTATATGCCACCTTATCAACAACATTCCTCATCCTCCTCCTCTTCCCCATAGAGATGGGTTGTTTCATGGCATGTTTTGGTTTATCCAACAAAAGAAAGCGTAGAAAGACTCTCTACAAAGTCCTAGCTCCACACCAAGTAAGTGCAACATCACCCATTTTCAATCTTTTCATCATATCATGGACCCTTCATTCTTTTGTTCTTAACTACAATTTACCAAAAAAAATGTACACACTTCAGCTAGGCCTAGATCACCACTTATCAGTTAAAATTTTAAACAAGTTTTGTTGTCTAGCAGAAATATGGAAACTATGAAGTTCTTGCTATAACAGAGAGATCAATTATCCAGGATTCCGAGCTCAGGTTAGCATTTGTTACTTTCTCTTCATTTCCCATGATATATTATGTGTATGTGCATATAATAAACATATATAATGGATTGTTTGTTCATTTAATTTCTCAGAGGCAGAGATGAAGTTAAGGAGAAAAATAGTGTTAAAAGCAAGAAGAAGAAGAAAGTTACCTTCAATTTGAATGTACAGGTATATGAGCTAAACCCTACTGCTTATCAGGTATTGAATAATGAGGAAGAAGAAAATAAGAACAATAGTGCAGAACTAGAAGGATCTGCAGCATTGCCAGTGAGATATCCTACCAATCATAGATATTACAACTGTGGAGATGGATATGATGAGGGTGATGAAATAGAATATGAGGATGAATATGATGAGGACGATGAATTTGATGATGATGATGATGATGAGTATGATTGGGATGATGATGGTAGCGAAGAGAGTTTAGAAAAAGATGAGGCTGAGGTGTATGATGAAAACACTAAACAGAAAGAGTTGTCAGAGTCATGCTATCCTTCTGTGGCAGATGATAAGATAAAGAATCAGATGCCACTTGATTCAAGTAATGCTGAGCTAAAATCCAATTTGAGTGGACGAGACAGAAGCATCATGCATTCTGTTCTGATCCCTGTGGAGAATCTCACACAGTGGAAAGCAATCAAAACAAAAGTTCCATCATCAAGCAAGCACAGGAGGAAGGAGAATGTTCCGTCATCAAAGCAACATACAAGCATGCCCTTGGTCACTGAAGCAAGCTTGAATTTCTCACCTTGCAGCTTGGAATCAAATGCCCTTCAGTCCAAGCCTCTATTGCCAGAAACTGCAGTTGATGCTAGTCTTTCAAACTGGTTGATTTCTCCTAATTATCCTCTCTCCTCAACCACAATTCATTGCCAATGAAACTCAGAAAATATTTGTTCCGTGGACTTGAGAAAACATTTTTTTTCTATCAGCGTGGAAACCAGCTTCAAAGAGGACGCATCAAATTTTGATTCTTCTTCATTCAGCAAATCAGTATATGCCAGCTGGGATGATTGCATTGTATTTGTGTGTCTAATTCTTATGCTGTATTTTGTTTTGTTTGTGAATGATTATTTTGTAACCAATGGGAGGAGTTTATGTGTCTCTTTTTATCTTCATGTTGCAGCCATACAATTTTTGGTTTTCTCAATTTTCATGCTCACATTAGGGTACATTGTATTCATTAAGACATTCTGCAAAGTGATATTTGAATAAATCAAGAGGTTTTTTGTGTACGCAACATGGGTTGTTATATAAAAAGTAAATTGAATGCAAACAGAAGCAAGAACCCTTTCGGCAGATTACTTGGGAATAAATACTACAATCATGAAAATTTATTCCACATCATTAGTAATTGGGAAAATAAAAGGAAAAGATAGGGAGGTATCCCCTTTAATTTGAAAAATTATCAAAGCAACTGAGTGCATAATTCTTTAAACAGTGTAAGTGAGCAAGCATGAAAATGCTTATTAAGTTAAGATACATGGAAGCAGTGCTGCTAATCTGCTATCAACACTTCCCAAATCATATTGTTGGAAGCAATCTGTGTACCTTGATCTGCATTGAGAACTCACAAGAGTCCACCAAAGAAATCATGTCAAAAAATCCAGTATGTGTTTGGATTGGTGATGAGTTAAACTCAACAAGATTTTTGGAAGCTACAAATAGTTGGTTTTGTGTTGAACTCACCATATTTTATCTATTTGTTACTTCTAAAAATCATTGTGGGTTCAATTCCCCAGCAATCTAAACTCACATGAAGATTAACTGGAACCAAATATTGGCAAACACAAGGAGCTGCTTATCTTGGTTATTTGAGAGTTGGCCCCAAATCATCATATCCATTTCCAGCTCAGCATGCACATCCCACAAGGATGCTTCCACGATTAGTCCAGCAGAAAGTTTGATATGGCTTATCAAGATGATCTCTACATTATTGAACACATACAAGAATTGTCATCTTCATCCTCTGAGTCTGAGTCACTAACATCACTGCAGAAACAATTGGGAGGCAAAAATGTGAGATAATTATGAATACATGTTGGAAAGAAAACTTTGGTTATTGTCTTCTTTATTTTTTTCCACCAGCATACTTGGAGCAGCTCCTACCAATTTTAACCTCAGAATTAACCAGATAAATAATTAAAATTTATTTAAATCAAGAAAATAAACAGGATGAATGAGTGCAATTTTATTTCATAAGTTCTTCATTGGTTACGAATCACAGAGCTTGTATAACATCTTCCTATGCCATAATTCATAAAACAAGAGCATTTCTCAAAATTTACTACTTCTTGGGCTAATTTCTGTTCTCCTTTCATCCTTTTTAATAGAAGAAGCAATTTTAATTGCTGTTTTATATATTGATAAGAACTAATTTTTGTTTATCTCCTAATATTTGTCTTATGATATGAGCTAAAAAGCACAGATATGAGAGATGACATGGTCCACATGGATATGTATATAGCGTTAAAACAAACTTTGAAACTATAGAACAGGACACAACTATATAGTGTATATAATTGGTACAAAATTAACATAAAAAAACCAAATCTTGAACTAAAAGAGAGAATCAATGTTTCAAAAGTTAGCATAAGTCATTGTAGACATAATGAAACCCTTAATATTAGTCAGTGCAAATGTTCATGCTCAGGTGCTCAAAAGCAGGAACTAAGTTACTTGCCTGGAGCCCTTTTGAGATGATTATAAGAAAATTACTTTTTTCGATTTTACATATCTTTCGTCCCTCCATTTTATGATTACTCCAGGAATGTGAAAGTGAAACAACACACTGAAAGAAAGCGTAAAAGAATCCATGAAGGGGACTTTTAGTCACAGAATTTCATGAAAAATTAGCTGGGAAGTTATAGGAAAAGAAGGAATGCCAAACATACAATAAACATGAAAAAGGATTCATAAAGGGCATTTTTCAACTGCACAATTAAGTGACTCACCATTGCATTAGGCAAACAACAACAATAAACTCAAAGGACACATAACATGAATTTTGCCATTTGCACAAAATAAGGGAAACAAAAAAACTATTTCCACGTTTTCTTTGTCTTTCTTTCTCTCTTTTCCATTGTTTTACATCAATATACAACTGAATTGAACCAACCACTACAACACACATATTTATTTATTTACTAACAATATGTGACTGTAATATAGCTGATCAAAATTCTGCACACACACACACAAATTAGTTAGTTTAGTTACCTTGGCTCGTATTCCAACACCTCAACAAGCTTGTTTCCTATCCTATCGTTCCACTGCACTTTCCTTTTCCTATATTTCTTATCTGACTTCTGTGACATTCCTCCTCTTGGCAGTGGCAACAAAGAATTGGAATCACTATCATCTACTCTATGGCTATGATCCCCAACCTTTCTACCATCTAAAGAAGCCACAGTCATAGTCACAGTCAGAGCCAAAGGCTTGTTAACACAACAACCATTAGCATCCTTCGTTGAGTTAGTATCCATCAACAATAACAAACACTCTCTATGCTCTCCTTGGTACGTTTGGTGAGACACACCGAAGAAGAAAAACAAAACAAAGTTCAGGGAAATAGAGGAACTTGGGAGAAACCCATTTGACCCATCTGCCTCAAAGTCACGCCGCGACACCAAATCCGACCAAAAAGCGAAACTTCGGAGGAACCTTACTAAGAGAAAAACAGGGGAAACAAGACGAAGTTGAAGTTTGACACGACCCACATAATGAAAGAGCATAGCATTGAGAGAATCTGAGTGTCAAGTGAAAGAAAACGACATAAATTTGTATGGTTACAAAGAAAAAACAATCCACAATCAGAATCCGAATTGATGCACGTACAGTGTCGCACACTTGGACAATTTTTTTGCTTTAAGAGAGAAAAAAAATACTCTGACAAAAACTGATTTAACTCACTTTTTTTATTTTGTTTTTGAAAATTCCTTTTTAATGGCCTTATAAGATAAGTTCCCGTCATCTGTATACACGATGACTTGAATTGGTTCGAGATAAAGAAAAATCTTAATCGTTTATGTTTATATATTTTTTATTTATTTAATAGAAGGTCCAAATATTTACTTCTTGTGATAAATAATAATTTATTTTGTTTATTATTTAGTTTTTTCAATAATTATTTTAAATATCTCATTAATTTTTTTTACCTAAAATATAATATAAAAAATAACATAATAAATATGGCTAAATTAAAATTAAGATGTAACACCAGACAAGAATAAAATAAGTGAAAAAAAATAGAAAATACAAAAGCAGAAGAAGATTTCAAATTTTAAAACTTCAAATTTATTGATCTAAAAACAAAAGTATATAATTAGGTGATTAAGTTGATTCAAGTCGATTTTTATATATTAAAAGCTAACAAGAGTTTTTGTGAGATTTATTTATTTATTTATTTATCTAATTCAATTTTTTTATGATATTTATTTATAAATTAAATTATTATAATTAAAAATAATATATTTATTTATTTTAAATTTTGTAAAGAGAACTTTCAGAGTAATTAGAGCATCCTTTCTAGTAGATTAAATAGTATGTAACTTATCATTGAAGTTCCATCTATTGATTAAATACGTATTTGAATTCTCATCCACAAATCTTAAACGTGAATTAGATAAATAATTATTTATTATTTTTATATGTTTCGACATAAAAAATTGTTAAAATATGGATTACTAATTAAAATTCAAACACACATCGAGAATCCAAGCGCACTTATAGCGTGTTTGCATTAGTGTTAGAAACGTAAAAAATCACGTTTGATAGGAAGCAATAAACAATAACTTCTGCGTAAAATTATGTTGGACATGGAGAGAGAATGTACAAACGTATTTCCAAACACACTATTAAACTATTTTGCCAACAACGGTGACATCGTAGTTTACTTTAGTTTCACTGAATTCACTGTCCTAGATACCAACATCTATTGGCATTGTCTTGAAGGCGATGAAAATGAGAAAGACAAAGATAAGATGAAAAGGGAAAAAGACGACTTGATATAGATAAAGATAAGATAAAAAGGGAAGAAAATGACTTAACAATGGCCCTTCTCAGGCTCTGCATGTTGTTGATTAATATTTATTTTCAGAATATTTTTCAAAGGAAAAATGTATAAGATACATTTATGTTAAAAAATAATTATAATTATTATTATAACATATAATAAAGTTACAAGTATTTAATCAGGATTTAGTGAATAGAGATGGAGTTGAAATACATGAATGATGAGTTAAGTTTAATCTTTATTATTATTTTTGTAATATTTCTTATAGATAAAATTAAATCCGGATCACACAACTATTTACTAATAAATTTAATGGTTATTAAAAGTTTGTTCACAATCATAAATCACCTACCTTATTGGTTCACCCTAGCAGTAGTTAGAAACATAAATAAAAATATTTTGTAACAAATGGAAGATACGATGCATGCATATTTTTTATTAATGGATGTGAAATTGTATTTTTCTTCCAAAGTTACAATTGTGATGGGCAACTGTGATTTTCAAAAGATAAATAATATTTATATAATAAAATTGAAAATTTTCTTATCAATCTTTATGTATCAAATCATTAATTATATTTATTAATTATTAGAGTATAGATAAAGTTTAACATCGTTAAAATAATAATAAAAAAAAATTTATAAGAATATGAATGTCATCATTAATATGAGATAAATATCAAAATAAAGTAATAAGAATTTAAGCCTAAAATGAATATCATTAATGTTTGAGAGGAATAGACATAAAAAAATTATATAATTTTTCTTCTCATAATAGGTGGAAAGACTTTCTTGAGACGTCACTATTGTATCTTCTTTCCCCCTTTTTAACATAATTGATCCCAAAGGAAAAATGTATTTTTTTTCTTCTATTCCATCCATTTTCTAAATTATTTTTAGTTAATATATATATAT